TTTCCACTGAGTCGTTTGCACCTTCTCGTTGTTAAATGTTCTCTGGTGGCAGCCGACACTCCGTCGATGTGTGGTGCATTTCGTCGACGAGTGGTATATTTGCTCGACCGCACCCCAGAAAGAACGTAAAAATAATTGGTTATTTTATTTTTAGCTAGTCACTAGATGTCGCTATTTCATCAATCTTTTCTGAGAAATCTCTCAATTGTTGTTCATTTCTAACCGAGAGATGTCGTCGTTCTTCCACAAAAATGACAGCTGCCTGACATACAAATAGACAGACGTGTCAATTGACATCGAAATGAAGATTGGTGTTTTGTTCGCGGCGCAGAATATTTTTACTTTTTTTTTTAATTTGAGTAAAAATTTCAACAAATTTTAAACTAAACTAAGTACTCCGTCTCCACAAAGGATACTGTATTCGCGCGGAGTAACCTGAAGACGCATTAGTAAATATTTGTCAAATACGGGCAGACGAAAAACGTTTTAAGTCAACATGGCGGGGCAAAAATTTCAATACGATGAAAGCGGTGGCACATTTTATTATTTTCTATTATCCTTCTTGGCATTAATACTTGTACCAACGACTATTTATTATTGGCCACGTAAAAAGAAGGAAGGTGAGTAATACTGAGTAGCAGTTTCGATTGGGCTGCTCCCCTTGCAGTTTGCGGTTAATAAGTTGAGCAAGTAGATCAGATAGGAAAGGTAGCAACTCAACGGGGCTATAAATGACACGTTCTATTAAGAAGCACAAAAAGTCGTGTTGTGGTGAAAGCGGCTTAAATTAGCAGCACTAAACATCGCGATGCGACGACATCAGACAATGAAAAGCTTGTCGGAATATTCCAATAAGAAAACACGACTTCAAGTGACGAGCTTGCTTCAATTGTAATAGATTGAAGACCCGCGGGGACGGAAGTACATTTTATAATTATTATTCATAGCAAGTTTTCACATAACGTATGCGTTTAGGGTTTGAAAGAAACTTTGCCAATGATTATTAACTTGCATTTTGTCACACATAAATTGTCTGTTTAGAATTTCTTAAAGTATCTAATATATTACAGCGTTTAAGCTGTTCACTTAAAAAAAATTTTTAATTAAATTGTATGTATCTATGTATATATAATGTTTTATTTTTAATTACAGATCCTAATAAACTTAAAGAGGAATGCCAATGTCCGGACTGTATAAGAAAGAAGGCCATCTTGGCACAAGCGGAGCCATACCGTATGCTGAAGTCATTCCTTATAAAGCTATGTATAGTTTTTGGTTGGGCACTACTCATATTACTGGCTTATCGCGTTTCGCAATTCGACTATGAAATGGCCAGTTTTGATCCATTTGAGATCCTGCAGCTGCCACCAACAGCAACTATGGAAGAAATAAAAAAAACTTACCGCGAATTGTCACGAGTCTTACATCCGGATAAGCCAACTGGAGATGAGAAATCCTTTATGATGCTGCGCAAAGCCTATCAGGCTCTCACCGATGAAACAGCCAAACAGAATTATGAGAAATATGGTAATCCAGATGGGCCAGGTGCTATGTCGTTTGGCATAGCGTTGCCTTCATGGATTGTGGAAAAAGAAAACTCGGTTTGGGTCTTGGGACTTTATGGTTTGATCTTCATGGTGGCTTTACCATCTGTTGTGGGCATGTGGTGGTATCGTTCCATTCGTTTTTCTGGTGACAAAGTTCTTTTAGATACCTCGCAAATGTATTTCTTTTTCATACATAAAACGCCACATATGTTGCTGAAGCGTGCGCTCATGATTTTAGCAGCTAGCTTGGAATTTGATAAACGGCACAACTCACAAGTAGTCGAGCGGCAATCTGACAATGAAGAAGTACCAGCAGTGAGTACAACTTGCTATGTAAAATAGTTATACTTTTATTACTTAAGCATTATTTTTTTTTTAATCAGCTCATTAGGCAGCTGCCTAATTTGAATGAGAAGTGCAAGGAACACCCTCTATGCCGAATGTATTCCATTAAAGCACGAGCAATTTTACATGCTCACCTATCACGCATTCCACTGAATCCAGAAACTCTAGAGAAAGATCGGCAGTTTATTGTAAAAAAATGTCCATATCTTATTCAAGAAATGGTTTCCTGTGTACATCAGTTGGTAATGTTGGCATACGCGAGACGAGTTCCACGTCTTCCGAGCATAGAAACAATAGAAAATTGTATGAAACTGTCACCTATGATTATACAAG